CCAGCCACACGAGTTCGATTCCCGCTCACGGCCACCAACACCAGCGACGATTATCTGAACCGGTCCTGGAACCTCCCATGGGGTCGACCCGGCGTTTATAAACGAGTCCGTAAACGAGTCCGTGGCGCGGCGTACGTACAAAGATGACATCGGCACCGGGGAGACAAAGGCGGCACGGGGCGTGGTTCTGGTCAATCGACCGACTCGTCCACCGCTGGTCAGTCGTACAACTTGGTTGGGCTCAAGATTGATGCCAGTACGAGCGATCCTGGACCCTCGGAGTCAAGATACTCGGCGGATGCTTTCCTGAGCGGACAGCTGGGATAAACGGATGGATGACTAATATTTAAAGTACTTTTTTTTATAACTATATATCTTTTTTTATTTTACCAGGTAAGGCCCACTGAGCTACACAGCTCTCGTTTTTATTTTCAGAAGCGACGCAGCTGTCACAAATGATAGCTCAACGAAGTGGGCTCTTATATATCGCGTAGGAATGCATAGAAGGCAAATACTCTAATACGCGTGATCTTCATTCTAAACGTGGAGGGGAAAAACCGGAGGATCCGCAGAGAAAACGCCACGGCACCACGAGGAGAGAGAGAGACCGCAAACTCCAAATATACAGCAGCAGGCGTCAGGGTCGGGATCAAAGCCACGACCTGTATACCAGGCGAGGTAGTCAACATCTCCTAGCCACCGTGATGATGATGATAGAGAGAGAGAGAGACACCGCAAACTCCAAATATATAGCAGCAGGCGTCAGGGTCGGGATCGAACTCACGACCTCCTGCGTACCAGGCGAGGGAGTTAACATCTTCTAGCCACCGTGATGATGATGAGAGAGAAAGAGACACCGCAAACTCCAAATATACAGCAGCAGGCGTCAGGGTCGGGATCGAACCAGTGCCGGATGAAGCTAGTGCGGGACCTGTAGCAAATGTTATAAAGGGGCCCTAAATATAAAAAAACGTAAATATTAAAACACATACATTTTTAACTTGCGTAGTAAAATAATTGTAATTTTTCATTTTCTATACAGCCAGATAATACGACAAATCGCTAACCTTAAGCACCCAGTCGTTCATAAAAGCTGAAGGCGGTATAGTACTATATTAATAGAGTAAGTGCAGAATCACTGAACCGGAATTGATAGCTTGAAAGCGTTTAGCGCGGGGCCCTTGAAAGTGTGGGGCCCGTAGCTACTACATATGTGTAGTATTAGTAATTTGTAGTAGCAGCTACTACACGTGTAGTAGCTACTACTACACGTGTGGTAGCTACTACATACGTGTGTATGTGTGTATCTAGTAGTAGCTACTAATACATATGTAGTAGCTACTACTACATATGTATTAGTAGCTACTACATGTGTGTAGTAGCTACTACATATGTAGTAGCTACTACACTGCATATGTAGTAGCTACTACATATGTATACTATATTACTACTATATGTACTACTATATGTACTACTATATGTACTACTACATATGTAGTATGTAGTAGCTACTACACTGCATATGTAGTAGCTACTACTACACACGTGTGTAGTAGCTACTACACATGTAGTATTAGTAATATGTAGTAGCTACTGCACATGTAGTAGCTACCACACACGTGTAGTAGCTACTACTGTACATGTAGTAGTAGCTACTACATGTGTAATAGTAGCTACTACATATGTCGTAGTTACTACTACATATGTAGTAGCTACTGCACACACACACACGTGTAGCAGCTACTACACGTGTGTGTGTGTAGTAGTAGCTACTACATATGTAGTAGCTACTACTACATATGTAGTAACTTGTGCTACGAGGATCATCCGGCACTGGACCACCTCCTCCGTACCAGGTGAGGGAATTAACATCTCTCCACCGTGGTGCTAATCGATGATTCGGCGATGCTGCTGCAGATGCTTCGTTAACAGTGGTGCACAGGCACAGACAACATTAACGAAAATTACGAGTTCAGCACACCGGCGCGTTGGAGAGCAAACCCGCGAACATTTACAATGGGAGTACGACGTTTCGCCGGCAGATTACAACCAGCCTCATCAAGGCGACAGGCAGAATCGATTGGCGCGTTTTGTTTACGTGACTCGCGTTAGTAATTGGTTGTGTCGTGGTGGTGGCGGTGGTGGTGGCGGGTTTAACGACACATTTATATATTTGACGCGTTCCCAACTCCCCCTCCCCCCCAAAAAAAAAACACAATCTCTTTTATGGATGATTTTGGTGGCGAAAGCCCAACCCACTGCTGCCACATGTTCAACTGTTATTGATGTAAACTCGCCAACAGCCTGGCCCCGACTGGCAGAGCCGTTAACTTAGGGGGAACGGGCAACTGCCCCGGGCCCCGTACTTTTGGGGGTCGGGTCCGGGGGGGGGGGGCACCCCCACCCGTCCCTTATGACGACCCTGCCCATTCATTGGACATCTGTGAAAAAACTAGAAACTAAATCTAAACTCTAATTATTTTATTTTACCAGGTGAGGTCCACTCAGCTACGTGGTTCTTTGTTTTTCTTTCAGAATGCGACATGGCTCTCACAAATGATAGCTCTCAAACGAAGTGGGCTGACATCATCATCATCATTACGTGGATATGTATAGCAGCAGCAGCCAAAGACTCTAAACGCCGTGATGGTAATTCGAAATGTGGTGGGAAAAAACCCGAAGGACCCGGAGAAAAATCCACGCGGCCACGGCGACAAAG